TGGGCCCAATACTAATTTTTGTTCAGTCATCTAGGCTCGTGCAAGGTTTATGAGCGTCTCCTCTCAGATCCCCTAAGTCAAGGGATACCTCTTAATGCATAGATGTCAGATTTTGCCATCTGCATCCCTCTGTGACACAGTACCTGGGTTTTACTATTCTCTGTGGCCCTGATGTGTGGCTCAGAGCTCAAAGGGTACTTGTTGCCAGAATGAAGGGACTGCCCTTCTCTTGCGGTTGATAGACATCAGCCATTCATTCCTCCACGTTCAGTGACAGCCTACCTTGACACTTCTGAAAAATGAGATGGGGGAGCCATTGGGTGGGGGGTCTGGGCAGAATGGAGACATAATTTGACTTCCATTTTACCCAGAATTCTGTGGTTGCAGGGTAGAAAGTGAACTTCAGGAAGACAGGGGTGAGCCGGGCGTGAATGGAGGCACCTTGGGCTAGAAAGCTAGCGGTGGAGGTGGTGAGAAACAGGTAGATTCCGGACACGGTGCGCAGGGGGGATCCCGCAGGATTTGCTGACCGATTGGATGGGGAGCGTGGGAGAAAGAGAGGAATGAAAGGCAAATCCCGGTCTCCTGGCCCGAGCACCGGGAAGCAGGGGGTGCTAGGGAGGCTACGGGTGAGGCAGGCATGGGAGGGGACATCCAGGAACTCAGTTTTGGACATAGCTTTGATATACTGGGCCTGGGACATCCAAGTGGAGAGGTTAAGTAGGCAGATGGCTGTAGGAGCAGGGTTGAGACAGAGTTTTAAATGGGAGACGGTCAACAGGGAACCATCAGTATACCAAAGGCATTTAAATCTCAAGATTGGAAGAGATCAAGAGAGAGAGCCAAGGACCAAGATCTGTCCACTGGGGTGCTCCAAAGTCAACCGGAGAGAAAGAACCAGCTGAGGAGACTAAGAAGGAGTGACGGACGGGTGGAGAAGGAGGAGGACCACGAGATGGCCACATCCTAAAAGCCAATGGAAGGATGTTTACAAGGAGAAGCTGCGCTGAGGTGTGCGGAGGCCGAGGTCCAGCCCTGGAACTTGGCAAGGTAGAGGCCACTGGTGATGACGGCCCCTCGAGAAGGCGTGAAGTGACAAGTGAAATTTCATTTGAAGCAAATTTTTTGCTTGAAATTATAAAGGTGACTCTTATTGTAATCTCAGCTTATAACTGGAGCACTTTAAAGAGAACTGAGAGGACAGTGAGTGTAATTACTCTTTTAAGATGATTTCTGGCCAAAGTTAGCAGAGAAGCAAGTGGTATCTGGTAGAGGAAGTGGGTCAAAGAAAGGCATTACTTTTGTTTAAGATGAGAAAGATGCAGGAGAGGAAGGAAATGATACAGAAGGGGGCGGGGAGAAGTGCCAGAATAATGTCCTGGTGTGTTCTAGGGCCCCAAAGAAAGGGCTGGCTTCAGCTAGGAGCCTGGATTGTTTGTCTGGAATAACCCAGAAGGCAGAGCATATGGTGCAGATGCTGGAGGGTGGGTGGAGGTGGGAAGAAGTCTGGAAATTCTGCTTCTCGGTGAGGGAGGCGGCGTTGGCTGAGAGTGAGGGAGATTTGACCCACACGGAGAAGGCAACGTGAAGTTGGAGAAGAAAGAGATCTGAAGATGCTGGCTTTGAGGAATGAGGTGACACAGTCTCAAGTCGAGGAATGTCGGCCGCCACCAGACTCCAGGAGAGACAAAGAGTCTTTCTCGCCTGGAGACCTACAGGTGGGAATGGCCCTGTGGACACCTTGACTCCAGCCCAGCGATGCTGAACTTGAACTTCTGGTCTCTAGAACTGTGAGAGAATACATTTCCATATTAAAACACTAATTTTGTGGGAATTTCTTACAACAGCCACAAGAAATGAATTCAGGGCTAGAGGAGGAGGAGCGAATCATCAGAAGACCCTTTCCCTGCCCACCACCACACACCCGCACCCAGCCCAGGGCCTGGCATACAGCACAGCCCGATACATATTTGTGGAATAAATAAATGAATGGGCAGGAAGCCAGGCCTGAGCTATCTACCACATTCCCCTTCTCCCCTCCATCCTTCTCTGTTCCCAGGGTGAGGGGTGTAAGAAGCATCCTCAGCCTCTGTTTATGGGTTTCAGCTACAGTTATCCAAAGAGGTATCCATGAGAGGGCTATGACTTCTATACTCTGGAAAAGAGATCTTGATGTCTTAGCTTGGTCTATTTCCCACTGGGTTCAATGAACAAAGAAGTGAAATTACAGTGACTGAAGACTGTACCCCAGTAGATGGGGGCAGGGAACATTCTCCATGCAGGGATAACTGCTCAGGAGGTGGGTATCACCGTCCATTCAGGTACAGCAGCTAAAGACTAGAGAAGGTCCTTAGTTCAAGGGCACACAGAGGTCAATGGCAGGGCCCACATCCAGGTCTACCCAGCACTGAGGGGCTGTGCCCCTCAATGCTGCACCAACCTGCCTTCATCCTCTCGCTCCACTCAGGAAACACCCCCCCGGGGCCACCAGCGGGCTCCCTCCTTACTTTAGGTTTGGTAAAGACCAAAGTCACACTCTGGGAGAGATGGGTACTCTGGGTGAAATGCTGACAAATTGCAATGTTCTCAGCAAAAACTTTAGGAATGTTTGAAAAAGAGGAAATAAGACAGGCATCTCTTCATTTCTTTATTAATGAGTCAAGATACACAAAGACTTAATAAAAAGTTACATAAAAGGCTCAAGCATCATCGAGATGTTCAGGCTTCACTCTCGTTTCACAACAATGGCCACCTGTTAATACTGTGAAACAGAAGCTGGGCACCCAGTGGCACTCAGCGATTCAAGTATCTCCTTCTAAGTAAATCTGACATGGAATTTCCAACCCAACGGGCTGCTAATGGAGGGGACCTGTCTGTGGCTCTGGATTTACTGTGACCTGACCTGTCTGAGGGGCCTTTGGGTTAGAGCTGACACATGTTAGTAGATCATATCTCCTGGTGAAGCGAGACAGGTCACACCAGGTCTCATGGTACCCTCCATAGCAAGTACCATGAGAGGGTGGTGGGCAAAGTCCTAAGATAAACCATCCAGATGTCCCCTGTATGCCCCAGCCCCAGCCTGCGGGGATGGGGAAGATGGCTTGGGTTACCTCTGGGGAGAAATGGAACCCTCTGAGGAGGGTGTCAGAATAGTAGGAGGAAATCTGAGAGCACACAAGGACTAAGCCACGGGATGAGGGGATTTCAGGAAGGGTATGCTCTAGGGCATGTGCAGGTAGTACTACTCTCAGGAAAAGCTGTGGGAACATGATGATGGCCCAGCCATAAGCCCCCGTAGGCCCCTCAGTCATGGAGTAGCATGATTATCAGGTTCCCCAGGCTGACCCTGCCAGGCCAGGTGGGGACGGAGATATACTGGGGATGTTCCTGGGTACACTCCACTCCAGCCTACCTGGGTAGCTGGAGAAGCGACTCTCCAAGGGTCCATTTCTAAAGATGGGGTGTTATCTACCCACCTCACCAAAGGGGGAAATGAGGTCATAGGAGAAAGCGCACCATTGGTCCCAAAGCAGAGGCCAACCCTTAACCAGAGTCTCCTTAGGCCCTGTGGAGTCCAGCTGTGGCTTGAGTTTAGGATAGATGCTCTGGAAGATGGGGATGGTGGCAGATACACCACCCCGTTTATATGTGAGGGGAACCAGGGTGGGGAAACCCCTCTTCTGGTTACCTTTATGGCTCAGGGCCCTGTTGTAGGTCTGCTTCCAATGAGACCCCCCAGTGGGTGCGGTTAGAGCTGCAGCTCCCTGTGGGCAGGGGGTGTGCTGGTGGCGGGTGGTGCTCGGTAGTTCTCTGGCAGTGGCTGCTGCCCTGTGTGCAGGGCTTCCTGTCCTCTTCTGCCACTCCCAATGCAAAGCACCCCTGTGCTCACTGCTCCGCATCTCATCTCGAGGATGCAGCTGGAGATCAAACCACACACAAAACCACTCACGTGCCTGCTGCAGACCGGGCCCAGAGGGGCCTCAGGGTTAGAAAGAGCCGTGGCCTTTTAGTGTTTAAAATACTCGCTAACATTATAGGATCCTGGAAACTCTGAAATGCCTCATCTGGAATGTTCTCTCTTATCCTTGCTTTTAGGAACAGGGAAAAATAAAGGGAGGGGGCGCATTTTGACAAAAAGGAAGTTTGATTTCCAATCAACACGGGTCCCCCCTGCAGCAGAATCATTCTTCTGGCTGATCCCTTGGTGCTGGTGATCTGGCCGAGTGAGGAGCCCGGCACACTTTCTGAACAGAGAAGAATCCGGGTGTCTGGTCAACTTGGTTGGAGGCTCACTGTCCTTGGCTTTCATTCCATGTCTGTTTCTCCAAAGAGCAGCCGGGTCACCTGCGGGGACTGTTCTATTTGTACAGCGATCTGATTGGTAACACCTGGGGAAGAAGGTCACTCACCAAGCCACCTCATCTTCTGACCTCCTCTGGGGGGAGGGCACCATTGTTCTGGCTGCCCCTCCACTCCAACCCGGGCTGGAAAAATCCTGTCTTTGCTCCCACCAGCAGCACCAGAGAGGGAGGTGGGCATTCTCAGGGGGGACTGTCCTGTGCAGAAACAGATACCTGGGAGTCCCATCATGAGCTCCACCTTCTTTTCTCCTCTGCTCTTGTATTACTGTCGCGATCCAAGAGGGTGATAAAAGTGTGTGCCAAAGAGACAAGGAATCCGCTAACCCTTGAAGGGAAGGGGTTTGCTCAGTAACTGGGCTTAACAGAGGTGGTGGTCGGTTGACTCACGGGGAAATGGCTTCAGGTCCTGCTAATGTTTAAGGGATATTCAGACTGAATCTTTTGTGGTTAAGATTCTGTGTGACCTTGAGTTTTCTGGAGGGAGTCCACAGGGGCTTCCTTGCACATGACAGTGAGTTTATATCAGAGAAACCCTGGGCAGCACAGGTGATGCACAGGAGCAGGAGAAGATCTGAGAAACCCAGGGCCTCTCGCCCGCCTGGGGAGAACAACCGAACCCATGCTGTCTGTGCAAAGCCACTCACTCACCTTAGTTTATATATTTTCAGGACAATAATAACAAACTCTCCTTTTAGAAACGACATGCTTGCACCTGCCACTCATCTCGGTGAGATAAATTTTGTCTTCTGATATCTGCGTCCTCAGCAAAAGCCCTCTGGGTAAATGCATCTCTCTTCTCCTCGGTTTCTAGGCAATGAATGGGGCTGCTTTCCCTCCAGGGTATGACCCATGGCCTGAGGACCCCTACCCCCCACCCCCAGCTACATACCATTCCCATTAACTTCGGGCCTCTCGGCCATTCTGCTCATTCTGGGTTGAGTTTGGCACTCAATGAAGAAGACAACAATAGTATCCTGTCCATGTTATCAGTGAGGTCTGCTGAAGACCTGGGATTCCATCAGGCAGTGGGCACAGACCCCCCCCCCCCCCCCCCCCGCTAAATAAAATAATCATCACTAAAATAATTTAAAAATCTACAAAAGACATCTGAGCTCAGACACTGTGGCTTGGAGTCAGGCGGCGGGGGCGGGGGGAAGCTGGATCATGGCTTGTTTGGAACGTTGCACATGGATAAACACACCCACATCAAACCAACACTAGGTATCTAAAAGGAACAACACACCCACCAAGAGAAGGGGGGACCCGGGTGTATCAACCGGCGAGAGGCTAAAGGCTGCTCTGTACACAGGTGGCTTCCTGGTCTCACGGGAGATCTGAGACAGCTCGTGCCCTCTGGCAAAGCCAGGCCCTGTCTGCTCCCAGCTCACCCTTCCTCTCTCCCTTTCTGTGCCAAGTCCTCAGGCCAAGGGTTGTGGTTAGAAATGGTTTTCAGTGCAGTTAGGCAGTGGAGGGGTCCCGAGGGCTGGCAGTTCGCTGTCACTGTGCCCAGGGACTCAGGCCGTCACAAGATCACGCACTGCAGTTTATGGGTGCCAGTGGCCCGGTCTCCCCGCCATTTGGTTTTCTTCTTCTTCTTCTGGCTCTTTTCTGGAATCTGTTGCCTTTTAAACATTGAAGGGCAGAAAGACAAAGTCAGAATGGATTTTGCTTCTCTTCTCCCCCTTACTCCTGGGTCAGAGGCACAGGGAGCCTGATCTGGCAGGGGCTGAGGGTTGGGAGGACAGATTTGGAGGCACTGGAGTCCTAGCTGCTAGAGAGGGGCCTGGCTGGATAACGTCTCTTAGGGCAAAGAAACTGGGAAGGAAGAGGAGGGGAAAACTCAAATCATCCTGTTGATGGGAATTACTGTCATCAGGCTGTGTTGCTATATTTATTTAAATCCTAAGCTGCATCATGCTTTAGGTTGTACAGAGTGTTGGCCTCTGTTTCTGTGTTCCATATTTTAAATTAAATGACAGGCCAACTGACATTTTATTGCAAAAGCTTTTCACATGTTTTAACTCTTCCTAGGTGTAAACCTGGCCTTAGATGTACAGGTCATAACCAGGACGTCCCTATATGCTACTTGGTGGTAGCACATCCTAACAGGAGACAGAATGACCAGGAGAATCATTTCAAGTGTGCAGAGCTGCCAGCAGAAACGTTAAGTGAAGCCTGCTGTATTTTCCATTATGCTGAAATAACAGGAGAAAATGAGATTATTGAGCACATGCAAGGTGGATAGGGAGGGATGGACAGTGGGGATGGGGAGGTGTCAAGCAAAGGACAACGTTAGAGCTCTGGGTCTCATCCAGAGCTAACCAACAGCCCTCTGAGTCACCAGCGTGAGGGCAACGGATTCAATGCATGGTGTCTTGAGAACCAAGGCCTGGGATGCTCTAGATGCTGGAGATTTGAGAAGTGGGATACACGGGGACAGGGACTGCAGCCAGTCATCTGAGCACCAGATCATTACACCTGGACCCTGACCTTGCAAAGGAATGTTCAAGAAACTATTTGTCAGGCCAGCTGACTTTGCTCGAAGGCTGAGAACCGTGGATCTGAAAAAGAGATGCCCTCACGGTTCCCCTGAAATTGGCGCCCCAGAATCACACAGTTGGTTGTTCAGGGGAAACTGCGTACACAGGGCTTCTGCTCTGGGAATGGGGAGAGGGGCCTGCCTCCTTTTGGTTGGGTGGAAAGCTCTGGTGTTGGGAAAACATCCAAGATGGCTGGACCAGGCGGAGGTGCCACACCCCAGCAGGAAGTCGCTTCCTTTCAGTAGGTGAAGGTGGGTCCATGTGGCAGGAGGAGCAGCTTCCACCCACAGACCCATCTGCAGCTGGGGGAGGGCGGAGGTGGGTGGAAAGTCAGGGGCAAGAGATGGAAGGAGGCTCAAGAACTGGCCAGAACAGGAGCTGTGTTCCTTACAAACCCTCAGCCTGGCTGGGCCCTTCCCAGCCACAGAGGCTCCTTCCAGAGAGGGGTGGGCTGCTCACCTAATTACTCTAACGAGGTCATGGAAGGCTTTGTCCACATTGAGAGGCGGGTCCTTGGCACTGGTTTCTATGTACGGAATCTGTAAGGCAAAGCTCAACTTGGTCAAAGAGGCACTGAGATCCACACAGTCCTTCCCTACCCCGAAGGTGGCAAATTCTCAGAGGTCCCAAGGAACCCAGGACGGAATCCCTGGTCCCCAGCAGCCTCAAGCTTCTTTTGGTGGCTTCTCGCTCTGAGGTTGGAAAGTTTTACTAATGGCTTTTCCGATTCCCTCTTGTTCTCTAGTCACAGAGATATTTGATAGCTTCCTAAAAATAGCATATAAATGATCTTTTAATATACTGGAAGACTAAAGATTTTTTTCCTTCATCAAACTAAGATACATTCGGATTCTATTCATTTTCCTTTCCGAGGCCTGCTTCTCTACCTTGAGGCAATCCCCGGCCCTCTTTTGCCCCACCCCCCCCAGAGTGAAAGCAGTGGGAAAGGCTGAGGAGGGGCTAGGCCACAAGCAGGACTCTGAACCCGCGTGACCTTTCTGGGCCATGCTGGTCCCCACCCCACGGCGCCCGCCCCAGTCCAGCTCTTGTTTGGTCTGTGTCTATGAGTCCGGGAGCTCAGCCATGTTTACACAGGGATGATGCTGAGGACTCATCTCATGGCCAAAAGGCAGCAGCACATGAGAGCTGTGGCCGAGGTGACCCCATGGGCCGTATCTACACCAAGCCTCGGTTTGATGAAGGGAGAACCAGGCTTCTGAGTGCTCGTCTTCTCCTATGACAAGGACCCACAAAAGTGGGAAGTGCTGGTGGTCCCCCACGCGGGGGTGGGGGGTTGGAGAAATAGGCACAGGCCTCCGTGCGTGAGACGGAAGTGAGCCGATTGTGGTGAGTTTGCAGAACTTTACTATTTTTCATGGCTTTTCTCCGATTACAAAATTAGTCCTTTTCATTACAATACATTTGAAGGAGAAAAGCACAGTTAAGAAAATAAACATGACCCGTTGGTTAAGCGCACGGGGTGGGAGCGGTGGCGGAGCCTGACAGAGTGAATTGTTATTTCAGAGGAGTTATTGTAAAGCGTTGTCCAGGGCCCGGGACAATCCGTGTCTTCCTGTCAGTTTTCATTGCATGAGGTCAGATGTCCACACCCTGCTTTGGCTTCAAGCGGTGGTCTTAATGGAGCTGACAGACACACAAAGGGCAGGGCACACAAAAGGGCAGAGCTCAGGCCTTTGAAATCTTCATTTGACAAATATTTGAGCATCTGATTTTACTGAAAGAAAAATGCTGTCCTCTGTGAGCTGTTTGGTTTCCCAGGTCCCCACATCCCTGACCTCACTGAATATTAACCAGCAGAGGCAGGCAGGATCTCATTCTGCAGAGGGAGACGGCTGAGGGTCACGTGCCTGAGTAAGATCTACTGTGACCAGCAGAAAGTCAAACCAGGTACACATGCCACTTCCCCACCTGGCCTCCCATGCACTGGTGGGGGTGCTGAGGTCCGTTTTGGAGCCACCTCCGGTTTGAACATCATGTCCAAGTGTGGTAGATGCTTCTGTGAAGCACCTGGTAGAGCTCTGAGGTCTTTGTGGGTGAGGCCAATGGCCACCCTGAGCATTCCCAGAAGGGAAGCAGGAAGGCACCTGATCCGGGATCTGGGACCTGGCTGGAGTCCCTTCACATCCTGTATGCTGATAGCTAGAAGCCCCCAGCTTCCAGGAGTTTCGGCTACCCGTGGTCCTAATCCCCGGGCTCAGAAATACATGACTTGTACTATCCCCCAGGTCCCTGGGCATGCTCCACCTTCTTTCTAGGGGCTCTGCCTCTACCACTGAAGAAAGTCTGCCGTGCATCCATTGGGTTCTTAGAATTCAGGGATTTCAGTACCAACTGGACTTTAACTAAGGGAAACCTTGCAATAATAATTGGTAGTACCATTTAACTCCATGCAGAAAATACTATCTTCCTGCATTGGGTGGGGATCCTTCCTGTTGTGCATCTGGGGACATAAAGAGGGATCAGCAAGAAAGACCGAGCAGTCAGTGATATGAGGACCAGAGTGGGGAGTTTGGGTGGGAGCACCCTGTCTCAGTCACCTAGAGAGGAACTGGTCTCAGGAGCTATAAAGTTGGGATGTCATTGAGAGCGGCTGGTAGAGTCCTCTGGTCAAACACAAATGAGGCAGTGTTTGCCCCGGGTAACAGCATCAGGCTGAGAGGAGAGACCTGGTGCTCCTGGGTCTCCTTCCCTTCTATTTGCAAAAGTCAGCTGTGGATGCCTAAGCAGCACCTGTGAGCCTCCACACTACCCAGAGCTGCTGGGAGGGAAAATCAGCCAGCGTTTGTGGAAGCCCCCAGCAAACCCTCCTTAGACCTACGGAACTGGTCATTGTTTAGAGGTCAAGACTGTGAAATGCAATCGCTCCTCAGGCCACCTCTGTTCAGCATGCCAGGCCCTCCTGTGCTCTCCCAGCTCTGTGTCTAATACTGACCATGATGGTCAGTTCCCAGGCTCCTCTGGAGGCTTCTGAGCAGCTCCTGGCCTGGCTGACCACTCCTGGCACCTGGAGGAGGCACCAGCTTTACTTGGCTTCCAAACTCCCCACTCTGGTCCTCATATCACAGACTGCTCGGTCTTTCTCACTGATCCTTCTTTATCTCCCCAGACCCACAACAGGAAGGGTCCCCAGCCTCAGCCCCAGGACCCCTTCCCCATCTACACTTACTCCCTTGGGTATTGTGGTTTTGAATTCTGTCTTCAGATGGGGGCGTCTGACTGCCTTCCTGGCCTCTCCCCTTGGTCATCTGTGAAGCTCCTCAAATGAAGACACTGAAAAGCACACTCCTGTCTTTCCCCTACTGACTGTGACTGTCCCTCCTGGCTCATTACTGGAGTTCCAGTTTCCTCTAGTTGCTCATGCCCAAACCGTGGAACCGTCTCCTCTTTCTCTCTCCTCATAAGCAATCTGTGAGGAAATGCTGTTAGCTCTTACGAACCCAGACCACCACCTTCACAGCCACGCTCTGGTCCAAGTCAATCTCACGTGGGCCACAGGGACAGTCCCTTCCTAATCTCCCTGCTCTCATCCTTGCCACCCATGGACTCTATTCCATGCAGCCTCTAGAGAGAGACCGTTCATTTGTAGGTCAGGCCATATCCCTCTCACTCGCAACTCTCCAGTGATTTCCCTCCTCACAGTAAAATCTCACCAGGATTAAACCACCTATCCATCCTTCACTTCCCAAACTCACCCCTCCTGCTCCCTCTGCTGAGCCAAGATGGCCTCCTTGATGTTCTGCAAACTCCCACCTCAGGGCCTTGGTACACACTATTCCCTTTGTAGAATATTCTTTCCCCAGACACCTGCAGGGTGCACTCTCTCATGTATGAACTCCCTGCTGAATTGAACCTTTCAGGAAATCTCTTCCTGACTACCCTCTTTGGAAAGCATCCTCTCCACGCCCCATCCCTGACCCCCTTTCCCTGTGTTTGTTTCCATAACACCTAACTTTCAGAACTCTAATTTGCTTTGCTTATTATAGTCTGTCTCGGTCACTGGAGGCAGGCCCCATGAGGCAGGGATGATTATTGCCCAGGGCCTAGAGTTATGGAGTCAAGACGCAAACAGAGGGCAGAGACAGGCAGGGTTAACTTCCAGTGCACCCCGTCTTCAACTACCAGAGCTGGGCCAATGGCCAGAGGGGAGGTTCAACCTGGCAGCAGAGGAGGGGGCCAGAGGGCACAGTCCATGCCCACAAGGGCTGGGGATGCCCAGAGACCTCACCTAGCAACACTAGAAAACCTAAAATTTTCTGATGATATTCAGGTTGTGGCCTGGGGCAAACCTCAGTGTGGTCACTTGTCAGGTGGGGTTAAGGACGCCCACTGTGAGGAGCCATCGGCATGGTGCGCCTGTTCCCCAGGAGCAGTGCCTGGTGCAGGGCAGAGCTGAGCGAACAGAGCTGACTCCAACGAGTGTGAGCATACTGGGTGGTGGACAGAAGCCAACCCCTGTGCACAGCCCAGGCATGGATCTGCAGGGTCCTGGTGGGACTGAGTGGCCCTTGACCAGGAGGTGGGCGGAACGCCACTCAGAAGGCATCAGGTCCCCACATCGGAACTTCTAATGGCTACAGAGGGTGTTTTCTCTCTGACTTGTTTTAAAAATATCCCCCTCCCCATATGCCCCATGAGGGCCTGCCCCATAAAATCCAGTTGCTACTCAGGAGGCCCAGGTTCCAATTCCAAAGGCCAGCACTGCCAGAAAGATGGAGGACCCACATTCACACATCTTCCGGCCCCACACAGCCCAACGCACGTGCACCTACATTGTGTTTGTTCGCCATTTCTTTTCCTTGCTCCCTGGTGATTTTCCTCAGATGCATCAAATCGACCTTGTTGGCCACGAGGATCATGGGAAATGACTCCCTGGAAATAAAGGGACAGTGAGGGCCAGTGCCTGGCTGAGGGGATGCAGTCAAACCTCAGGTGTTATCAGTCTGCCTGGCCTGGGCAGAACCCCTTCCCAGCTCCTTTCCAGAGAGAGGTAAGCCCTTGGGTGAAAGGGGCCTGGGAGTTGAGGTGGCTGTCTTGGTTTTGAAGCCTCAGGCCTGTCACAAGGCTGGTGTTGAGGCTGGTCCAGAGGCCAAACTGCCATCCAAATTGTCACTCTCACTTCATGCCTCATGAGGTCCTGCCCCGTTGAATCCAGCACTGGATATTTTTATTCTTTAGAAATTGTAATTTCACAGGTGAAAAAATGGCACTTTACTATTTCCCTCACATTTCTTTGATTAGCAAGAAAATTAAATATTTTCCCACCTGAGTCACTTTTGAGGCTCATATACTCAGGGACATAACTGCAGCTCTGTGTGCGTGTGTCCCTTTACCTGGTAAAGTCATTATCCCTTTCTGCTTTAGAACAGGTATTAACTGGATTTTTCTGTGTTTACTGGGATTGGTCAGAGCTTGCTGTTTTCCTATTAGCTCCTCCGTTTATTATCTTTACTTTGCCTCTTCGAGATCCAATGAACCAAAAAGACCAGCTGGGCTGAAAATGGGCTCCAAATTATTTAATTATGAGACAAGGAAAAATGTGCTTTTAATTAGAGGCTTATAAATCTCACAGTCAAGTGTGACTTAATCAATGACAATGTATACTAGAGAGAAAATTCACCTCTTTGTCCATAATATAACTTGGCTAAATTGGAGTTGAAACAAAGATGCTGCTACGGGGTGAGGATGGACCCCCTTAGGTCCCTGGAAGCAGTTTGGTCCTGAAGAAAATATCTAGGGGTGGCACTGGAGGGACTGACAGGGAGATCTGTGGGGAGGAGAGAATTCAGCTTTTCAGGAGAGGAAGAGGGAAGAGGAGGAAGAAGAGGAGGAGGAAGAGGAAGAAAGGCAGAAGGGAGCCTCCTGCAGGCCAGGAGCTGGGACACCCTGCCCTCACCTGTCCTTGACACGCAGGATGAGCTGGTGGAAGCGGTCCACGTGCTCGAAGCTGGCCTTGTCGGTGACGGAGTAGACGATGAGGAAGCCGTCCCCGGTGCGCATGTACTGCTCCCGCATGGCACTGAACTCCTCCTGTCCGGCTGTGTCCAGAACTGGGGAGAGATGAGGCCACTCAGGGGCTGCCAGCGTCCCTCTGGAGTCCCTTTAGCCCACAGACCCCCAGGGTCTGCCTGGGTGGTTTCAATCCAGGTGCTCACTGGGCCTCAATTCCCTGATCCACCCACAAGCTATTTAAAATCAGTGATCAGCTCTCACAAACCCCCTCTGGGGAGTCCCCAGGGACGGGATAACTCCCTGCTGCAGGATTTACAGAGCAGGATTCTTTGGGAAACTACCTGACTCTCTTTGAGTCTCCAGTTCCGCCATCTTGCTGCCCCCTGTGGAGAAAGGTGTGTTTGTGGATAAGCCTAGGAGAAGCCCTGAGGAGGCCACTGGTCAGTGTGGACAGACACCAGGCAGGCTTTAGGGAGGGAATGACCCTCACCTCTAGGATGGGGCTGTCACAGGGGTGGCGGGGACAGTGCGGGGGCTGGAAGGAGGGCCCCCCAAGACCATGAGAAAGGTGCTTCCCTCCAAGCCACCCATCCCTCATACTGCTGCCGTCCCACGGACCCTGACGCTCACCCTTCCTTTTTGGTGAGATCAAGTGCTCCACCTCTGCCTGGCTCAGAGAGTCACAGCCACAGCCTGGGGTGGGGGTGTCTCCTTCCAGCTGTGCCAGCCTGACCACTCCCACCCTACAGGGTCCAAGGTCTGAACTGCGGGCTCCTGCACGCCCCTGCTCACTGTCTGGCCTCCCTGCTCTCTCCACTCTCTGACCAGACCCAATTTCTCCCTCTCCCTAGAGGCAGTGAAGTCGGTGGTTACAGATTTTGGAGTCAGACCACGGAGCTGTGTCTGGCTCTCCACTCCTCGGGTGTGGCCCCGGGAAGGCTCATTTCTCTGTGCCTCTGTTTCCTAAAACAGGGACGGCCAGGGTTGTTTGAGTTAATATGTGTAATGCCCTGAGAGAGAAGTGCTGGCACAAAGAAGGACGAGGGGAGTGTCTGTCAGGAGCCTGCCATCTTTGAGGGGCCTTCTCTACCACCCCCTGGGCCTGGGCTCCTTCCTCCCAGGCCTTGGCTCACTCTGATGTGGTGTTCTGCTGTCTGAGCCCCCAGGGCTCTCCCCACTCTGTCCCAACCCTTCTCCAGACACGTCTTGCTGCCTGTTTAATGTCCCCCCACCGCCGGACTGTTGGCTCCCAGAAGCAGGGACCTGGTCTGTGTGAGTCACCTGGCTATTTGAGTCTCAGCACAAAATGTACCCAAATAGTACTTGAATGAGCAAATAAATAAGGAGTCTAAGCAATTCTGTTCATTCATTTAAGAAATCTTTGAATGCCTACAAAAAAAAATGTGCTGGGCACGTTCTAGCCTCTGTGGGCACAAAACAAATGGGGCAAAATCCTTGCTGTGGTAGGAACTTAAGATCCCGTCGAGAGACAGATAAATGAGAGGCTGCTGGAACGTTAGCTGGTTAAGCGTACACTATGAAGAACTACAGAGCCGGCTGGGGGGGGGGGGTCACTGTCAGAAGATGGTATTATTTACACAAGTTCACTCTGGCTCCTCCTAACAAGTTCCCTTTTCCAATAGGCCGCACGTGGGAGCAAGGGGACCTGTTAGGAGCTTGTGCAGCAATCCAGGCAGGATATGATGGGAGGCTGGGGGAGGTGGCCAGATGGGGCCACTTTCAAAGACAGGGCTACAGTGGGGGTGCTATTAGGTCTGGCCTGAGTGACAGGGTGAATATCGGTGTCATGGACTAAGGCAGTAAGGAAGGGGAAGAAGCAGGATTTGGGGGCTCAGTTTTGACACAGGCTGCAAAGCCTAGCAGACCCCTGAATAGGACTTCAGACAGATATTTGGAGACTTACGTCAGATACTGGGAAGAAAAGAGGTGGCAAGAGACAGATGCAGGGGTGCCAGTGGGTGGACAGCAAGGAAAGCCACAGGACGAGCTACTGAGGACACTTAGGACTCCACATCTCCTCTGGTACCTTCAGACAGGGCCTGGGAAAGTGACCTGTCCCATCAGATCATCATTGATGCATGCCCTGACCAGTCCTCTGCACTTCAGAGGGGCGATGGATGGACAGGAGGAGCTGGGATGTGCACCAGACGTGAGAGAAGCTAGTGGCTATTCTGCCCCACTCCTGGGCCTCAGGCTCATGCAGGAAGAGGGGTAGACTCTGGACCTTGAGGTCCGTGTAGCTCTGACACCCTACAACCCTTTCATCTGGATATAAGAAGACAGGGACCTACAGGGAGGACCAGTGGGGTGGCTGAGGGATAGGAAGAGTGCACCTTCAACTGGATCCCTCCATTATAGCTTCCCCCACCCAAATAAATCCCACTTAGAACTGCAATCAATTAAACACTTGAAATGGCTGACATGTGGATGGGAAGACCTGAATTCAATAGCAACATACATTAAGGTCATGTTATAATTAATATATTCACATATTTTCTAGGTTATGTTTAAAAATATGATCATTCAATTAAAAAAAATCTCAATAGGGAGCTGAAAATACAATGGATCCTCTGGAAAGGAAGACAGCCATTTCAGACACTGAAGGTCTTTGACATTAACTTGCCCACACTTTCTAGAAGAATTCTTAGAGGATGTACTCAAGCAAAGTGAAAAACAGATTCATGAAAGAGAAGGATAAGGGATATTACAAATAGTCATAAGCAAAGAAAACAGCAAAATATAAGAGTTAAGTTTAAATAAAATGTTGCACAGTTTGAAGAGAAGGGATGATAGAGTGGAACTAAAATCTATGATGAGCCATGCGTGAAGGAAGAGACCAGGAAAATATAAGTGTCCCTCACCTGAGAATTAAAAATCTGAAGTGCTCTGAAATTTGCAACATTCTGTACACCAATGTGGTGCTCAAAAAGTTTTACATATTGGAACATTTGGATCTTAGATTTTTGGACTAGGGATGCTCAAATGGTAAGGTCTATGCAAATATTCCCAAATCTGAAAAACTCTGAAACCTGAAACACTTATTGGGCCAATATGATATCCTTATTCTGGTACTAGATAAGGGATACTCAGCCTGTACTAACATTCTTGCTTCATTGGGAAAGAGGCCAAAGATCCCAATTATACCCAGATGCTGATAGAAAAATGTTAAGTATACACTTTCTTATGTATATAGCAGACCTACCCAAAGAACAGAAATAAAACCCCAAACCTCCTAATCACCAGAAGAGTGGAAAAACAGAACACAGCAAATGGAACCAATTCAACAAAAGGCAAAAATAAACTTAACAAAATAAGCAAGTACAATTAAAAAGTAGATGTGAAATAAGATGGCAGAAATAAATCCAATCGCAGTAAATACAAATGGGATGAATTCGCCTGTCAAAAGCAGATTCTTAGTACAAAATCAATTTGCCTGCTACTTAAAAAAGACCCACGAGAAGAAAATGACACACACAAAATGAGAAAGGATAAAAGAAGAATATACTTGCACATGCTAACCAAAAGAAACACATCTGCAAAATTAAGTTCAAGGTTAAATCATTAAATAGGAAAAATGTAGGGTATATATAATGAGAAAAGGTAAAAACATCAAAAAGTGCCAAAGTCACGAAGCTTAAAACATGGAAACTTTTAAACAGGTCTGTCTTAAAGATAGAACAAATGCCCCCACCAACTAATGATCTGTTATTAATAGAAACAAGAATATAAAATAATCCATTCACTTTGAAAATGTAAAAGTTATACTGCTCTATAACTTTCCAGTTAAAGAGAAAAGCCAAGCAGAAATTACAAATAATTTGTAATTGAAGGACAATGGTTGGAGACCAAAATGGTTCTCAGGGGGAAATTATAGTTTTAAATGCATTTCAGAAACCGAAACTGAAAATTAATTAAGCACTGAAATTGGGAAGCTAGAAAAGGAAAAATAAAACCAAAGAGAGAGGGGCTGAGGTTGGGGCTCAGCGGTAGAGTGCTTGCCTTGCACATGAGAGGCACTGGGTTCGATCCTCAGCACCACATAAAAATAAACGAACAAAATAAAGGTATTGTGTCCATCTACAACTAAGAAATTTTAAAAAAAGACATGGGGTGGGGGGGATAGTCAATAAAGTAGAGGAAGGAGGGCGAAAGTAGTTGATAGCTAAAAATCAAAAGTAGTTGAAGTCTAAAATATCTAAAATTCTTTAAAAGATCAATTAAAAAATCTTTAGCAATTCTTGTCTGAGGGGAAAGAAAAGAAAAGTAAACATTTGGAAGGGGTGAAGGCTTATGGCTATGGATACAGATATATTTACTTATAAAAGAAATCTAGTAACAGTTTGATAGCAACACACCTTCATTTCTAGAAGAAATTGATGATTTAAGAAAACAAAGGATCAAAACTGCCTCAAGAAAACAAAAAAATCCGGATACATCAATAACTGCAGATAAAACCCAAGAGAGAAAAATCTATTCCACAAAGGGCAGAAAAGCTATTCTTGGCCCCATGGTGGGGGCAGGCGCAGCCAGGGAGGAGGTGGCCTGAGCTGGACCTAGTCCGGTTTGGGGTCCATTCCTTGTCCAGCTTCCCTTCCACACACATATGTCTGGAAATGCCTCCTACAGCCACATGGCAGCAACCGTGCCTTCGAGGCTTCTTAGGGAAGGCTGAGGATGATGGGCAGCTATGCTGATAGGAGATCAGGGCTCCACCTGCATGCATGGGGCCAAGCCTCACGGCGTGAAGTAGGAGGACTCCAGAGACACAGAGTATTAGTCACTGCGGGAGAAGAGGCGTTCTGCCAGAGTGTGTGTGTGTGTGTGTGTGTAAGAGAGAGAGAGAGAGCTAGCAGCCAGATTAGAGGGAGGAGGGAGATTCTGGAGGCAGTGTCAGGTCTTTGCTGCCCCAGTCCTCTCACGGTGGTGGTGGTGGTAAGAGAGCCAGCTCCATTGCAGGGGAAGATTAAAGCGGTGGCTACTCTCAGATCTTGTAGATTTCAGAAGCCAAGACATACATACACACTGGCATGGTGTGAGGTCCCAGGCAGGCTGGCAGCCAGCATGGAGAGGCACCAGC